CTTCTTGTGATTGGTGTGAGAAATGGACCAGGGCTTATTTAAAGTTCTTATTGACGCAGCAAGGTTTCTGGAGATGGAGGCTTGTAGATGGGGGTGGGGTGTCACCCCTTGGATTACAACAAAATTTCCAAAGAACTGATAGGCTCAATTTCGCTCCTCCCATAACCTTTATCAGCTTTACATACTATGTCAGAATAACCCTTCTGACAGCGTGACCAAATCAAAGGCTCGCCAGAAATGGAATATAAACTTCCATAATTATCACCATACTTACGCTTTTATAACCAAACAAGCGGTTGCCGTGCAAGATACACCGAAATTTTGTAATAGATACACAGGGGACAGAGAAAATCGACAGGTCTCGTCCTCTCATTGTCTCACATCTAATATGAAACTGTATCATCTATCACAAGGTTTTGTTTTTATTAAAAGTGGGGTAACTCGAGAACGGAAGATCTCAGCGCTGAATATCGATAGGATTCGTTGCGTGATGATCCTAATGCTTAACACCAAATTTTTAAAAAAAACTCGGTTAAAACTGTAGCCTCTATCAGTTTCACAAGGGTTTCGACAAAGGGGCAAAACTTCGGAACGATAGGATTCGACCCTGACGGACTGGCGGAAGGACACCATAGAACGATGAGAATCGATAGGTTTCGTGCTTTCGTGCTCCCAATTCATCACACTAGAAAGCCACACACTTTGCGGTATTATGCGCACCAAAATCGAATTCGACTAAGACATTCTAATCTGAAACGGGCAAAACTTGTAACGCAAATTAATGTGAAAATGTGACCGTTTAAAAATTGACAGATGTGTGTGTATAACTGCGTATCGGTATCATTGGCAGTCCAAAGAAACGTCCAAAAGCAGAAGAACCTTTATGGTAACCTGCACGGATTTTAGATTCTCGAAGCACGGATGTTAGATTCTCGAAGCACGGATGTTTGAAACACGGATGTTTCATACCGAAACACGCCCGTGTCTGTTGGCACGTAAAAATAGACCCTGAAATGGACCCACAGATTATTTAATGTGACTGATTGTGACCATGACTGAATGGGACTTGGCTGACCGGGACCAGGTTTGTGTTGTTTAAAATCTGACACCGAGGACCTGTCATCATTTAGATAGTGGGCTTGATACAACGATTTCATCTGGCAGGGAGTATGCTCATCCTCACCTGCATGGGTGTTCTCCTGGTAAAACGAACATGCTTCACCTCGGGGATGTTTTTTCTGGTAAAACGATTACATGTTGCAATGGGTATGCTCAAATGCCTCGTCTCATGGGTGTTTTCTGGTAGAACAATTGTATGTGGCAAGCAGTATGCTTCACGTCATGGATGTTCATCTGTTAAAACGATTGCATGTAGCAAGAAGTATACTCATCTTCACCATATGGATTTTCTCCTTGTAAAGTGATTGCATGTGGCAAGGAGTAAGCCCATCTGCCTAACCACGTGAATGTTCTTCTGGCAAAACGATTCTATGTGACAAGGTGTATGCTCATCTGTCTCACCCCATGGGTGTTTTCTGGTAAAACGATTGCGTGTGACAAGGCGTATGCTCATATGTCTCACCTCATGTGTGTTTTCTGGTAGAACGATTGCGTATGACAAGGCGTATGTTCATATGTCTCACCCCATGGATGTTTTCTAAAACGATTCAATGTGACAAGGCGTATGCTGATATGTATCACCTCATGGGTGTTTTCTGGTAGTTAACAATTGCATGTGGCAAGGAGTATGCTTATCTGCTTCACCTCATGGATGTTCTTCAGGTAAAACGATTACATGTGGCAAAGATGCTCAAATGTCTCACCTCATGGTAAAACGATTGCATGCGGCAAGTAAATGCTCATCTGCTTCACCTCATGGATGTTCTCCTGGTCAAACAATTGCATATGGAAAAGAGTAAGCTCATCTGCCCCAGTTTGTAAATTTTCTAAAGATTCTCCAGTTTCCTAACACTGCTAAAGAGACCTGTGTGCATTATTTAAATAAAATTATGACTTAGTTTGTGTCGAGTGGACATTAAACCCAATTGCGCTCTCTGCACCTCATAAACTATATAGTAACCCAATAACGGCTGAAGAAAATTAGACACACAAGCTAGCCTTTACTCCAACTAACTAATGATCTGCGGTAACAGTGTTTGGTTTTCTAGTAAAACTGACTAGTAGAAAATGGTACAATAAAAACCCCGAGCAGACTTCACGATCGGTAAACATAGTATTAATTAGCCATGTTTCGCGCCGTGACAGTACCGCCTTTTTTTAACCAGTTTTATTAACAATTGAAAATCATTAACCAACGATTTTACTCTCGATTACTCGTGTCATAAATATGATTCATTACCCTTTGATACCACTCGTACTATGACAAGAAAATGTTCTTTGTGGGTTTTTAAAACATCTTTGTTTGAAAAAAAAAAGCACTGGGAGAGATTTCTTGAAATGTTATTTAACTTGAAATTTTTACGTTAATAAGAAATAGGTTAAACGTCAACCCAACACAAACTATGTGATTTTGGGAGTAACATATGGTACAATTTTATTTCAACAATACACTTACGGGTTTTAGCAGTAGGGGAAAACCCGTTGAAACCCCATGGGGCTAGACAGACAACACTCGTCTCATACAAGCTTGGGCTGACAGATTCACTGACAGACCTTATGATCTAAAACGTATTGTTAGACCATTGGCCACACCATTGTTAGAATATAACTATAAAACGTTGAATGTTTCTGACAATTAAGAGGAAATTTACCCTTTGTTGGTGATGGTATTCTGTATATAAGATATGTAATTGCTGTTCCAACATGTTAATATTCTGCTCCTGGGGAACCGAAATGAGAGCCGCGGGTAATTTAGTGTCACGAACCTGATGAGATGTCTGTCTTCATCAGGCCACCTGGAGCAGAAAGGGAGGACTTTTAACCCCATTTTATTTCATTTCATATTCATATCTGCTACTCTATTTGCTAACCATTATGGGAGTTTGGATATTATGTACCGATGGTGTCCATTACAATGTAGGCCTTCGCATTCCAGCGCTTTTAATTGAAAATGGGCGACATGTTTCGGGAAAAGATTAAGACATAATGTTATCAGAATGGTAAAAAAAAACAGAGAAGAGACATGTTGTTTTTGTAGCCATACCAGCAGTACTTCCCTTATTAGTCCGTTAACGAGATTATTACGTCCACGTATATTGAGATCCGCTAACCTCTTATTTGAGTTTCTGTGTCTATCAAAAGTTATATTTGTTTGGCATACTTTATATTCCCTAGTCAAAGCTTACCGGGGAATCGGATTTATTTCGTTTTGGGTCTACCAAGGCATTCGCTCCCAAATGACAATGTAGTGACCTTAATCAATGTTAAATTTGTAATTATCGGTCGACCGAATGTGTCTTTAAAACGGTATTTAAATCTAGAATAATTTGTCGTCATCGATCAGATTTTAATCATATACTAATTGTTGAATATGTAGATTAATTTAGAAATCATAACAGTTTAATCTGGTATTTACAATCTTAATGAATAATGTTTATTGTTTATAAATTTAAGAGTTTTCAAACGTTGTACCTAAGAAATGTGGAATCTTGTAAAATTCAGTGAACATACTGTATATAACATGCTTTAATTCCATGCAAATGTGAATAAATGTCTAATTATTGGGGTTTTTTTTAGAAATCTGAGACCAAAGGAAAGACTTGCCATAGGCAGTCTTAGTTCTTACATAATGCATCTTAAAACAGTTTCTGGACATGTTTTATTTTGAATTATCTATGTCGACCAAATGTATCTTTAAAAGTATATATTTATAGACTTGATTTATTTATAGAAATAATTTATTATTATTATTATTTTAATTTCATCTGTTATCTTTGGTATTTACATTTAAACACATATTTCATTCATATCTATATACATATAGAACAAAATATACACCGTTTTTACACATCATAAGAAGATCAAATTAAAAATACAAAGGCTTTACGATGACTCAGTTAAGTGTAAGTATATCACGTGATCTGCTTGGACTATAAACTACTATCAAGAAGAAAGGAAATAATTGTTATTAAAAACTTTTGAAAAGATAGGGTTTAACGTCCACTCGACACAAACTAGGTCCATTTTGGACTAATATATGGTTCAATTTTTATTTCAATAATTCGCTTGCGCGTAGGTGTCTTTAGCAGTGGGGGGGCGTAGGTTGGATAGGCGACCCTATTCCTTGTCACGTACAAGCGGGAAATCGACAGTTGAGGAATCTTTATAGGGGGTGTGGGGATTCAATCCAGACGCTGGGCTTGAAAGTTCCTTGGGATTTTCCAGCGTAGTTTCCCCTTGTCAGTGGTGAAGGCCGAGGGTGGGGCTGAGGTGGAAAGCAGTGTCTAGTTGTGTAAATGGGACGTAAAACCGAGGTCCCGTGTACACATTTGTGTGCACATAAAAGATCCCTTGACAGTTGAATTTCGATATAAGAGTGGGTCGTAGCGCCGCTGTGCGTTCAAAATTTTCCTCATAGCACACTGTGTGGCGTATGCCCATGTTCATCAGCCCCAGTAGCAGCAGAACAGTTGGACGTTAAACACCATTTCATTTCATTTAATTTATTATCTCGGTTGATGCTGAAAACTTAAATCCCGTTACATTTCATTTCATTTACCTACATCTATTATTAGATACTGCTTCTAACTAACTGTAAATCGAGAGTAAACGTTTGAGTCTCCGTATTAAAGTTTGATTGTGTCTGTTTGCACCAGGCGTAACTCGACCAATCTGTGATCTAAGTCAAGGCCTCAGACTCAGCAATACAAACTAGGCGAAAAAACTAAGTTTCTTTCAAAATCCAGGTTTTCACAAATATTCATTATATTTTAAATGTACATACGACATCATAGACTCTATTTTGAATTAAGTCCTAATGTTGTGAGTTTATACTTGGTGTATGGTCATTATTTATAGTTATATGGAGGTAGATTTATTGGTTAACTGTACTATACGCTAAGAGTTCCTGCATGTTTATATCTTGGACAATTTGATGATTTGATGATATTACTTTAGATGATATCTATTGTTCAGGTACGTGCTTTATTTGAAAGTCTTTATGATATGTATCTTCTTGTGATCAGTTCTTCCCCCTTCGTTTCATTTAATCTGACAATTTTAGTAATGCGCTGCCTGACTTACCCAGAGGTCTCGGGTTCACTCCCGTCGCTCCCGGTGTTCGTCGAGAAATGTCCTTGGGATTTTCCTGCGTGTTTTACCCTTGTCAGTGGTGCAGGATGGGTGTGGGGCTGGCAAGGACAGTGCCTAGTCATTAGGATGGGACAAAAACACGAGGTCTGTGTATACATTGGTGTGCACCTTAAAGAAGAACCCTTGACAGCTGGAATTCAGTTGCTGTCATGGCTAAATTTACCTACCTTTCATTCATTATCCAGTGGTTTCACTTAATCTACCATCGTATCATGTATTAAAGAGATGGAGTGAATGTGTTGGACGGGTGTCGTGCACGGCTTATTGAATGTTTGCTCTTCCTAAGCATCTCACATTATTTTGCATTTGAAGAAGTCACATTTTAACCAGGTAGGCTATAAGTAGTCGTGGATACAGGTGCACGAGACAGGGTATACCTACTCTTCCTAAACACCTTAAAATACTTCTCATTTGGCGAAGTCACATAGCTAAAAAAGAAATAACTTACTGATATATAACCCTTTGCTGGTCACTGAAATAGGATTGCACTTTAATGATTGTTCAGCAACTCGAATAAACCCAAATTAACCCTAACGATTCTCTTCTCAGGTGGCTTCTACCTGTTGACACTGAGACAAATGAATGGAATGGGGTTTAACACCCTACTTTTCTGCACTGAGTTGGTGGTCTTTGGCAACGATGCTCTTGTCTGTTCCGTAGCATCGGCGTTTAATATCCATAGCTCATACATTTTGAGTAAAGTCTGTATAATTACAGGTCCAGATCTGTCCAGGGCCACCCCTGGATCCATTCGCTTGATTGGATATATTCTTGTGTTGTTTATTGCTGGCAATGTCAGTGTGCCTTGTCGTATAGATTTACTAATAGAGGCTCTGTGTTTTAAAATCTTAAAACTTAAGCTCAAATTATTTTACTCGAGTCATCGATGCATACACTGAATATAAATGGACATAATACACCACCTTGCGATTAATAGTTGTTTGAGATTATTTATATTTATACCCGGGCATTGGAATTTAGCTTACATTTTTATTTATGTAGACAATATAAGATAAAATCTATTTACAATATATTGTTTCGGTAAAATAAAATTAGGATCATGGACAAAACTTCGTTTCGTTAAAAGAAATGCCCACATATCATTTTCCCACGTTATACTTCAACTAATTATAATAACCGTAGCGTGCACACAATAATTGATAACAGCAACACGTTAATTTGAGAAACCATATTGAGTTGATTGGTAATTAAATTACTTTAACTTCGTTTAATCCAATTTTCGATTAATTAAATTTTTTGTTTATTATACATCAAAGGCCATTTGAATTGTTCGCTGCGTGTATGTTGTAACTTATTACAAATCAACGATATTACACTGGATTTGTCTAAAGAGGGTCCCTTAAATTTGTCACCTGGAAATTCCACGACTTGCCGAAATACAAAACTTACGAAATAAACTTTTTTGTAATTAGAAATGCGACAACGCATTTCTCGTGTTTCTTTCGAAGAATTTTCAGTCCATTTTTATGGTATATGTTTTGGGCGCTTCAAATGAAGTACCTGTCTTCATAAAATTAAAAACTGGCTAAAACTGTAATTAAACACAGAAATCCCACTAATCACTGACAAGGGCGTTTCTTTTGTCAGTAGCGCCCAAAGTATTGCGAAAAGGTGACTAACAATGAAAGATATGTTATAGACATGCATATTTTACACACCATTTCCAAAATTTAAATAATTTCATAAAAAAAAGAGAAATTATGGATAAAGGACAAAAAAGTCATCCATAATGTTTTTATGAAATCATTGACATTTGCATTCAGGGAAATGAAAAAAATTCAGGGAAATGAAAAACATCATATCCAAAATTTAAATGATTTCATAAAAACATTATGGATGACTTTTTTGTCCTTTATCCATAATTTTTCTTTTTTTAATGAAATTATTTAAATTTTGGATATGATGTTTTTCATTTCCATGAATGCAGATGTCAATCGATTTTTTAAACACGAAATCCTCTATCCTGCAATACTTCTAAACACACCATTTTTACCCTTCGGGTGCATTTTAGATAATTTGTTAGACATTTTAAACAACATGATCTTGAACTGCGTTTAAAGAGCTTGTTTTTGATATTTTAAAACTTTCATTTAAGTTACGTGTTGTTGGTTTCTTTTCAAACTAGAGTAACGTCAAAGAACCTTTAATCTTTTCTATCTGTTCAACATTAGCCATTACTCCATTTGATCTATAATGAAGTGAGTTGCAGGAGTAAATAATATTTGTGAAGGGAGGTTGGGTGGCTAAGTGGGTAAGACGCTGGCTCGCTAGTCTCGAAGTCGCTGGTTCGCTCCCGGTGATGTCCGAGAAAGTTTATTGGGATTTTTCCGGCGTGGTTTCCCCCTTGTCTGTGCTGCAGGACGGAGAGCCTGACAAGAACAGCTGTCTAGTCATTCGGATGGGACGATAAAAACCAAGGTCACAAGTACACATAGGCGTGCATGTAAAATATAACTTGGCATTTGGCCATAGCGCCGCTGTTCGGGCAAAATTTCCATCATAGCACACTGCATGACGTATGGTCGTCTTCATTAGCCCAGTCGGAGCAGAGCAGTAGAAAGTTAAACCCCATTTCATTTCATTTCATTTGTCTAACGCGTGTCTTTTATATCATAAGGTCTGTCAAGTGGCGTGGTTTCGATCCCAAGCTTGTATGCTACCATCAGTAGGGTCGCATGAATAGTATCGTGGGGGTTTTGTTCTCTGTTTATAGCTGAATGGAGGTTACTTGATAAAACCTCGAGCAATGCAAGGACAATGTACTCTTCCCCAAACATCATCATCCTGGTAATAACCACCATCGTCGTCTACATATTGTCTCTATCCAGATCTTCGGCCTACTCTCCTCAAAGCTTCATCATCCTCGTAATCACTACAGTCGTCGACATCCTGTCCCAGCCCCCGCCCCCCCCCCCCCCACATCATTATTAGGTGCAAAAAGTTGGTGTAAAACGGTAGGACGTTAAACCCCATTTCATTCATTTGTCCGAGTCAACTAGTACAAGCCATCTGAGAAGAGAATCGTTAGGGTTTGATGACGGAACTTAATCTGTCTTTATCCGAGTTGATGAACCCTCATTAGAGTGTAATCCTCTTTCACATATTTCTTACTTGTACACAAAAATAAACTCAGATTGTATCAAGTTTTTAACAAGAAAAAAATCCCTTGTATTATTTGTTGAAAAAGAAGCAGTTGGGCCTGTTTGAATATATCAGATTAACTTGCTTAAACAAACATGGCGGCCAAAGTGTCGTCTGCTGTCTGATGGTTTGTGTAGTTAACATGGAGATTGTTTGAATTGTAATATCACATTTTACTTACCGTGTCTAATCAAATACTTACACTTTCTCGTATTAAGTACAAATTACTACACCAGGCGCCCTCGAGTTCCAAAACTAGTAAACCTACAATTTAGAACCTTTTTTTTTATTTTAAAGATGAACTATTTTACTCGAGCACTAGAAGTAGTAAACTTACAATTCATAATTATTTGGATTTTTTTTTCAAGATTTTGGTTTTCTACCTATCACCGACAAGAACAGATTTGGTTTATAAAAAATTTGGATTTTTGGATATGGTGTGTAGAATATACAAATTACAAATTACACCCCACCCCCCCCCCCCCCGCATCCGAGTTCTACAACTAGTAAACCTTTTACTTTTTCATTTTAAAGATAAACTTATTAAAGACGAATTTATCTATACTCTCACTATTTTATCCGAGTTTTACGAATAGTAAACGTACATTCCCTAACCTTTCTAATGCAATACAAAATTCAAGTTTAAAGCGCATTGAAGGTATAAAAGTTTTGTCAATTTTCAATATTTTGTTTGGAAAGGTGAAAAGGAGATTGTGAACTGACTTGTCGTATGAATGTGCTCTGTTTCTGGGGTGTTTAAACTATTTTTGTTCACGTGGAATCTAAAACAGGACCAAGTTGTTAGTTAACCCAGCCAAAAGATCACGATGAGAGCTAGAACTCTGCGTCTCCTATCAAAAATGGAACATTTTCGTTTGAATATCATTGCAATGCTAACCGCATGTTCTTGATTGCTTATTACCAAATGATTGGAGAGGGAGGGGGTACCAAATGATTGGAGGGAGAGGTGGGGGGGGGGCACAACAGACTCATTTTGTCTAAATGGGGTGCCCAAGTGGACAAAATTGAAATTCCATACTCAGACTCAAATATTTTTAAAAACTCTTTGTCAAAATGTCACTTGCTACATCATTTTTTTTATATATATTTTTCAATAAATAGATTGCTTGAGGGGACTCCGACTCCATAATCTACCTTTGTACACTGTTAATTACTAAGTGTTTTCAATTTCATTTATGACTGCCCCCGTGTCTCGAGTAAATATGTTTTATCATACAATCAATTAATTAGTTCAATGATCAAGTTACAGGTTGATATAACTAATACTAGGTTAATTGATACTATATATAGACTGGTGGTTGTTTGAACAATTACTGATAAACAATGGCGGCAATGGTCTGTAAAATGAAAGTAGATGTTTCACATGACACTATTACTGCTCTATAATTCGTTTCGGTTAATGATCAAATCTTGGGATCAAATTTAATTCAACAGACTTTTTTGCTTCAGAATATGAGTTGGATTATAAACTTTATGTATACCAAAATATTACACATCACATTATTTTGATTTAACAGCATGTGAAGCCTGGAATTGATAGTACTGTATATGGACCAGGGACCGAGCATGACGCCATCGCTGCCAACTTGGAATTCTGGCACGATATAAGTCCGTCTATCGGTGCGTTATTGTCTAAGAGA